TGAACACTCCAAGTTGACTACCTCAAGTCAACCTCCCCAAGAGCTGACTACTTCTAAGTTAACCTCCTCAAGCCAACCATTTTTAGGTCGATCTTCCCAAATCAATCACCTATAGGTTGAATGCTCCAAGTCAACCACCCCAAGCTAACCTCCTAGGTTGACCACTTTCGAGCAATGAAGTGCCTTGGTTGGATGTTGACACTATAGACCTTATAATTAGTAACTGGTACGATTATTACCAAAGACCAAGATGTAAACTTTTATTTTAGTAGGCAACAAGGTAACTACCCACGTCTTGTGTTATGTGATGAGAGTGGAACTTGTTGTAAACGAAAAGGGCGTCAAGGAGGAAGTTAAAAGACGAAGGATTTTAGGTTAAAACTAGGTTTTATTTCTAATGATTTAAACATATTGTCAAGTCAAAAGATGATCTCCTGAATTTAGAATTTTAGTACTAACAAACAAAGTATTTTTATAAACAAGAAATGTTTGTGAAAACATCTTTGAACATATGTTTGAAAAACTTATTAGATAAAGTGTAAGACATAGATCGTCTATAAGATGTTGAAAAACTTATCAAGCTTTGTTATTTAGTATGGAAAGTTGATAAGTATCTTCCTTGATTAGATAAGAGAGACCATTTGATGAAATTCATTTAATACTCATATTAAATGAGTCAAACGGTCACCTGTTACCACAAGGAAAGATGATAAAGATAGATGAAACAAACTTGTGAGTTGGATTTAGTGTTATAATGGTCATCTTCCTTAAGCTACTATATAAGAATATTCAAAACACAAGAAAGATAGAGACAATAATTTTAAGTGATACATATGCTTTCTATAAAAGCATACTCTCTATAAATCTATTCTTTATTGTAAACAATTATTACTCTGTATTGGTTGTATAATGTCTAAGTGAAACGAACACAACATTTGTATAACTTTCATAACTATTGTTATAAGATTGAGGTTGAAGATGTTTATTTGTAAAAGAATACTTAGTTTGAGTTTAGAGAGGTTTGTTTGTAAAATAATACTTGTTTTAAGCTCGGAGAGGTTTGTCTATAAAAGAATACTTGTTTTGAACTTTGAAAGACTTGATTGTAAAATAATACCTGATTATTAAGCCTGTAGAAACTTGTTGTTAAGAGAATACTTGGGTAGTTATTTAAAGAGACAAGTTAAAAAATACTTAGGATTAAACAAAAAATGACTTGTTAAAAGAATATTTGTATCTTTATTTAAAAATAGTAGAACTTAATCTAGTTAAATTGAAAGTTAAACGTAATTTCAAAGGTTGAGACGAACTAATATAAAAATACTTAATGTTTCATTTAATTGTATTTCATCTCATTAATTAGCGTTACCACTTCATTACAAAAAATGTGAGTTTTTTACACTACTCAACCTCCCTTATATTGATGCATGATGTGATGAATCAATATGAGTGATGTAGTGAATAAGTCTAGGGCTACGATGTAGCAAATCTAATTGATGATTGTTGCATATATGTGATGATGTGATCTAGGGCTACGATCTAGCAAATCTAATTGATGATTGTTGCATATATGTGATGATGTGGTGTGGTTGGTGGAGTCCATTTCGTTTGGTGAATTGGTGTCGAAGCCACTTGTCAAGTAGGTGTGGTTTTGTGGTTCAAAAAATGTCGTTCTCAGTGAATCCGGCAGATCTTCTGGAACACGATATGTGCTCTGATTTGAGAATATTGGTCGACGTGTACAAATTTCACGTAACACCCAACACGTAAGAGAAAAAAAAACACGTGGATGTCTGAAATCAGAAAGTTACGGGAACGGCATGAATCATGATTCATATATATATATATAATTTTTATTAAGTATTATACTGTTAATAACTTTATATTAAATTTTATATTAAATGTGAATTTTATAAACCTAATCGTTAGATTAAAAGTTTATATTACTGTATATATTTATATTAAATTTTGTTAAAATTAAACAGTAATTTGAAGATAATCAAAATATTCATATTTTAGTATATTTTCAAATGTATATATTACGTTAATCTTGTTTTATAATAATGAAATATTAAATCATCTTAGATTAATATAAAATTTTATGTATATGATCTAAGAGCAAAATTTTTTTAATCTAACGGTTGGATTTATAAAATTCACATTTAATATAAAGTTATTAAACAGTATAATACTTTATAAAAGTTACACCAATGTTATTATAACCCCCTTATATATATATATATATATATATATATATAAATTAATCTAAATTTATTTCGTTCAATAATTTATGTTCTACATCTTTAAAAATTGAATTTAAAGTTCTAAATACATATATTAAATATGTAAATTGTTAAAAAATTTAAAAATTATTTGATACTTCGTTTCATTAATTTAAATTAATAGATAATCATAAAGTTATTTTATACACTGACAAATATAAAATATTTTTATGATTATCCATCAATTTAGATTAAAGAAATAAAATATTGAATAATTTTTAAATTATATATATATATATATATATAGAGAGAGAGAGAGAGAAGAGATTCGTTTATTTCAAGAACAAGCCTACCTAGCTAGACTTATTTCATATATTTTACATTAAATTTCAATGATCCAACTATTGAAATTAAAGTTCTTAATACATAAATCCCTTCTCATTTAGGTAGGGTTACTATTGGAATAAACGCATTCCTCCTCCTCTCTCTCTCTCTATATATATATATAATTTGAAAATTATTCAATACTTCATTTTTTTAATTCAAGTTTATGGATAATCATAAAAATATTTTTATTTGTCGTATAAAAGACTTTTATAATTATTTTGTTAATTTAAATTAATAAAATAAAATATCAAAGAATTTTTATTTTTTTTAAAAAAATTTTACCGATTTAATTTATGCATTTAAAATTTAAATTAATGATCCAACTATTGAATTTAAAATTATTAATGCATAAATTAAACCTGCAAATTTTTTTAAAAATTTAAAAATTATTTGATATTTCATTTCATTAATTCAAATCAACGTATAAAATATTTTTATGATTATCCGTTAATTTGAATTAATGAAATGCAGTATTAAATAATTTTTAAATCTTTAAAAATTTGCATGTTTGATATATACATTAAAAACTTTAAATTCAACGATTCAATCGTTGAGATTTGATGTAAAATATGAGTTATTGAACGAAGTAAGTCTAAGTAGACTTACTTTAAAAGTAAACAGATTCCTCTTCTCTTTATATATATATATATATATATATGTGTATATATATATATATATATATGTATGTATATATAGGAAGCATATCAAGTGAGAAGAATTTATTATGAGAGGGTGAGAAGGTTAAAATATAACCCTTAGATTAATTTTCTCTCACTTGATTAAATCCCAAATTTTCTTTCACTTGATTAAT